CAGCCAACACCTTGGTGGCCTCTGGGAGCAGCCACCCAGTGCCACCTTGCTGGCAACCATCTGACACCTCCCTGGTGGCATCTAGGAGGCCCTCTGCAGAGCCTCCTGGTGGCATGCCAGGGCTGGCAGGGGCAGGAGGCACCCACCTTCATGAGGATGAAGACAACAAGGGTGACGAAGACGTTGGAGCGGGGGTGGTGCCAGGCCTCCAGGATGCCCAAGTATTCGAACTCATCACTGATCCCTTGTTTGGCCCACGTTTGGTTATCAAAGAGTGTCACCAGGGTGTCCTTCTGGGTGAGCTGGTGATGGGCAGGGGTCAGCTGGGGGTGGTGGAAGCCCTGGGGTGGGGACCGGTGTGTCACCCTATGGCACGTACCTGGCCGGCCATGAACTGTCCAAAGCCGGGTGGGAAGGTCAGTGTGGAGATGAGAAGTGTCACCAGGGCAGGGAAGAGCAGGCGCCTGGTAGGGTGGCATGGGGTGGAGAGTGACTTTGGTGCAGCCCTGGCTGCACCACCCCAGAGCCAGGGACTGCCAGGCACCTACTTCTTCATGAGGAAGCGGTTGATGGTCTTCTGCCGGCGCATGAACTGCACAATCTTGCGGTTGAGGTAGACGAAGAGTGCGCCCCCAAAGCCGCTGGCAATCCTGGCCAGAGGACATGTGGATGCTTACCCATGGCTACCACTGACACTGACACCACCATCACCACCTGCCAGCAATGCCTCTGCCACCCCAGGGCTGTGGCATGGGTACCAGGGTGGCCACACTCACCCAATGACAGCAAAGGCAGGCAGCGCCTGCAGGTCAAAGGGGAAGGCAAGGAGGAAGCGGGTTTTGAACAGCGCCGTGATCGTCTCTGGGGGATGGCAGGGGTCAGGGGGCTGGTGAGGAGACCTCCACACTCCCCACCCCACCAGGGATACCTTCATCCTTGTTCCAGACGGCGAGAACGGGGGGCAGCGAAGAAGCCACGCCAGTAGTTGCGGACAGCAAAGAAGGTGGAGGTGACCTCGATGCTGAAGAGGACGCCTGGCACCGGGGGGAAGCGCACAGGGAGAAGGCGAAACCCAGGTGGGCCCCCACTGCCTGGCATGCTTCCTGCCCCATGCTTGTGCTGGGTCCACGGGGGTCTAGCCAGCCCCA